TTGTAAAAATATCTACAAAAAGCTAGCTGTATATCACATAGTGAAACTTGAACTTCTGATCAGGTATGGCCTAAGTACACCAACACCAGACCTAGGTATACGTGTTGTCAAGGTACCGGTGCACAGAATTAAAAGTGAATACAGCCTACGGTATTTCCACAGCTCTACTCTTACTGGGAGGGGCTCAAAAACATATCAGTAACGTTCTAAAGCTTGACTGGCTTAAACAATCATTAACTCACACTCAAAAGCTCTGTGAAGTTTAAGTGTACGTAAATAATGTAAGAGTGTTTACCATTTGTTTTGCTATTGGTATCCATTTAAAAGTTCTATGTACAATTCAAGTGCCTGCATAGCATTGTTGGCATAAAAAGTGCCTAGTAACAGATCAGCTTCCTGTTAGATAAAACTGTATTGAAACATACTTAAATTGTAAACAGAAAGTATTACATAACTACCTCCTTATCCTGTAGGGCTTACAATATGCAATAAGAAGTTAAAAGAATTTATTGATTGTAATCTTTTGCAAGTTTGCAAAGGGAAGAATGCAAAGCAGAAATTGATTTAAAGTAAGCTAAAAGATCCCGATTGCAGGAAGAGGTATTGAAAGGTGAACTATATCATTCATATTCAGATTCCAGGAAGAGGTTTTGTCAGGTGATAGTATGACAAATTCTACTGTTAACTCAGTTTGACAAAAAAAGAATTGTGAGCTTATCACCAAAAACTCTGAAATATATTTAACAAATTATACTGCTACAACCGGCTGTATATCTGGTGGCCTGCTACAACCGGCTGTATATATCTGGTGGCCTGCTACAACCGGCTGTATACATCTGGTGGCCTGCTACAACTGGCTGTATATCTGTTGGCCTGCTACAGCCGGCTGTATATCTGGTGGCCTGCTACAGCCGGCTGTATATCTGGTGGCACTTTACTTCAAATTTCAATTTCACATACTTTCGCTTCAGAAGTTTTTTTTCCGAAAACACTGAAATACACTGAACAAATTACAACTAAAAAACTCACTTTATTACAACCATAAAGGAAGATAAATTGTTAAATTTCAATCTGCATTAGTCCAATTTAAGAAATTACAAAAACCACCAAACAAATTAACTTCAGACAAATTGTATTAATTTTTCATTATATTTTTAGGTATATTAAATAATAATACGTTTGAATGGGATGTTTAAGTACACTTGAGTAAGATAAGCATTGCTAGGGTCAAAGGTAAAAACTAGGATTGGTCTGGGTAGTTGGACACATACATATTTTTTGTTTTGGCCTTTACAGTTTGCCTCTTGCGCAATTCAAGATTATTTCTTGAATCACAGCTCATAAAGTTTGTTTCTATGTTACGATTGCTGATAAAATTGGCAATATTGTAGGTTTTCTATTGGGTTTTAGCAAGTTCAAGCCATTTTAATGCTGAACTGATTGACCGGAGCCCCGTCTTAATTGTCTGGTCCCCTCTTTAGGTTGAAATGCCACATAATGGACGGATGGATCAAGGAGGGAGGGATCACGGACGAATTAGGGCCATTTGAATAGTCAAACAAAAGGCGATTTAAATAGTTGAACATCTAACTATGGAGGCCTAAAATAAGGGGTTGCTTGTGACCTAGGCCAAGCATTGTCCATTGAAGTCTACCATTGAGATAGCAGTTCATCTCCTGTCAATCCAGTCCAGAAGCTTGAAGCTTCCATTACCCAGTAGCAGATAACATGGGGACGTAATCTATTAAAATGCATAGAGTATTCAACCATTAGGACCACCCAAAACTACCAGTACACACATTATTTATTGTCCAAGGTCTGATGCAATTCCTTAAGTAGTCTCAGCAAAGAAGACTATATACAGAGCACCAGTATTGTAGGCAAAAAGACTAATGGGTCTTTAGTGTTCTTTATTCAAAGGGTATTTCTTGTTACTTAGGCTTGAATAAGAGGATTTGAAAAATGACAGGTTGGCATACAATGACTCAAGAGGTGAATGCTGGGTGGGTATAAAGTATCAATAGCTATTTTTAACATAGCAGATATACCATCAACCCCTGTACTAGATGCCTTATCCAGCTTTGTTACACTTGTATGTGAATAAGGGCCTGGGTGACTCTAGTGTTGGGGAAATTGAGTCCCAGTTACCCAAACTGTAAACAGAAGAAAAGATAATAGCTGAAAAGGGCACAGAGCATTGGGAAAATATATGGTAAACTTTTAAAATCATGATCTAGCTATTACTGCTATTAGTAAGTTTGAAACTAATACATAATGTACCAAGTTTTTATCTAAATGCATGCAGATTCATTCAGTGATCAGTAAAGCCCTGCAGGCAAGGTAATTTGTAACCAGAATATCTCAATCTAATGTAAGTTGATATGCCTTTCATCATTATGAAATGCACACTTGAATGCTAGAACAAAGGAAAATGACCTCCTGTCTGGTGTCAATTTTGTTTTGTTTGTATATATGTACATGTATGCATGGCTATGTCAATGTGTATAATATATTACCGCAACTATGCTGTTTCAACAGTGTATATATATATACAGAGAAATTTTAGAGAAAATTACTGAGGGCGACATATTTAACATTTAATAAATATTACAACATTACATATTATTGACAGCTTGCAGTCATTAACCAAACATTTTGAAATACTGATCATGAACAACATAAATTGCCAGTAATATCAATATTTATATTTGCAAAAGAATACTTGTACATAATCTGCGCAATATGTTGGTTAGTGTGCAACTATTGACTATTACTTGTAAATTGTGTAGTAGGAATCATAAACACATATGTACAGTACGAGATTTAGACACGCATAATGTTAAATAAGTCACATTCAATATTTAGTCAATACCTCTCTCAACTATCCATATTGCTCAATATTGAAATTTCCACAATCTACAAATAAACGTGAGTTGTACAGATAACAGTCGAACTATTATAAAATTCCTTCACTATAAATCAGGCAGGTGTTGCTTCATGAAAACCTCTGAATCTAGTTTTGAAATGAATAACAAGTTTATTTTGTGCAATCAATCTTTAGCTACGAGAATCTTTGCTAGTCTCTAGTTCATAATAAGGTGGTATACATTCAGGTGCCATATTATGAAATGTATTTTACCCTAGTTGACCGAATTGGTGTCCATGGCACTTAGCAATTACGAAAACTAGAATGACAGCAGCACCTTCAAAAATTCTTAAAAAATAGCTGTAAAAAACACTTATTTTATATGTAAATTGGTAAATTAGGATGATAGACTTGGACTATTGGACAAGAAAAGGGACAGGGAACGCTTATTAAGAGATGGGGGTATTTATTAAGATGAATATGGTAAACTAAGTGTGGTACTTCCTTCTGTGTATTCAACAGGCAATATATAAAGGTGTATGAAAGTCTATATTTTACTTAGTCTATACGTGTATAAAAACACAAACTGTACAATCCAGCGGCAGCGGTTCATCATCATCGGTTAGGCCAAAAGAAAAATATCGTCTGTTTAGGACATTTGACCCCTGTGACCTTGAAAGAATGTCAAGGACATTTTCATTTTCAAACTTTGTCAGGCTCCTACCAACGAAGCTATCACCCAAATATCATGACTCTAGGCCTGTCCATTCTTCAGAAGAAGTCGTTAAAAGGAAAAGTTGACGGACAATGATGGACGATGGACGCTGCGTCATGGCATAAGCTCACTAGCCCTTCGGGCAGGTGAGCTAAAAATAAAAATCCTCTCATTTTTTAAAGGCGTGTTATACCCTAATACAAGTCTGGCAACTTTTGATTAAATCTTTGTTTTAATCAAAATGAAATATTGTTCCTTTTTGTTATTGAGGTATTATACAAGAATATCAATCGAATCATCCTGTTACAAATTATTATGCTTAACATAAAGCTCCGATTTATTCTAAATTTTTAATAGCCCCCTGCGCCCACCGAGGATTTTTAATCAGCAATGAGGTAGCTTTAAATCTTTCACCCCTAGGTAACTTGAGTAAACTCTACCATACATTCATCTGGATGAGTCCACTATGGTCTACAGTGGTGAACGGTTTTACCACCTGAATGATCTGAATCACATGACCCAGTACATTCTAGTGTCAAAAGGATTGACAATACAATGAACCATTATACCTGACAGTACATGTATAATATGGCAAATTTCATTCAATATTAACTTTTAAATAAATCAAAAATAAAACTAACTGATATCAGATTTTAATAAAAATGATCATTGGTGAAAGATTGTTTGAACAATTTTTTTTTGATACAATGTATAAACAGGGATGTGTAGACATTAAATGGGGCCCTTTGCCTCATTATATTGAAAATTAAAATAAAACAAAAGGCCTATGTTTGTGCCTATACAATCCATTTTTTTGTATTTTTCAAGTTAAACGATTACTCTTGCTAAAAACATAAAATGTATTACCTTCCTACCCTATTTTTTCCAGATACGTATCCAATCTACTTCGCATCGCCCCCGTTTACCGATATTCCGCGTGGAAGATCGGACGCGGCGGCATATCAAACGGGAGCGATGCGAAGATCTAATTCTAATTAGATTGATATATATAGGGATACAAATCAGCAAATAATGCATTTTTTGTTTGGTCTTATTGGAGGGTTGGAATTCTTGCTTTTAAACTGGTGACTCACAGGTGATTCACCATTCAACCAACCAAACGTAATTTTGAAAGGATTGGAAAAATAAATCATTGAAATTCATTTTAAACAATGGAAATAATTCTCTAATCTACCTTCTGTAAAAATGACACTGGTTTGAAATAAAAACAACAACAAAAACGGCGTTATTAAAAAAGATAAATTATGGCGATGTAGCGAAGATTGCATTAACCGCTATATGAAACAGCACGAGGTGCGGTTCGCACATATGATTATTTCCTGTCATTTACCAGTTACACACGTTTGTACTGCTAGCGACGTTTTTTCGTTCCATGGTAACACATTTTTTTTCACTTACCTCTTTTTCGGTCAATAGCCCTAATTCGGCAGTGACAAAGTCCTCTGTAGATATATGTGATTTACTCATGTTTTTCACCTGTGTTCAAATAATTAATTCGAATATTCCACACAAAGCAGCCGACATGTGCTCTCTCCCTTCCGAATCGCGAATTGATCGCTCGACTAGCTTACACGTCGGGATAGAGAGACGTTGATATAGTACGTTGCTGTCGTCTGCTCGCCGTCCACGACCACAAAGAACTACACACGCAGCTGCTCGGACCTAAATTATAGATGTGCGAGTGGCGTGTTTGCTATGCAAACCGGCAACTCGGATATATAGTATCCCGGTGTGTTACTCATGCAATTTTAAAATGCTCTAGTTCGATATAATTATATCAGCAGTATAGATTAGAGTCAGGGGCGTTTCTAGAATATTTGAAAGAGGGGGCCCCCGTAGAATCAAATTTTTCTCCGAGTAGAGCGAGGCGATTTTTTTTGATTTTTTTTACCTTTTTTTGGCTAAAAAACATAAAATAATTGTGAAATGCACTAATGTAACGGTTCCTGACTTGGAGCATGTATATTTTATAGTAACGTGTCAGGGTGTTTATCTGTTTAATTAATGATTAATGAATATGATAAATTGCCATATTCAATATAATATTAGCAGATTACGATAGTTTTTTGTTGTTTTTTTTTTTAAAAAGGGGGGGGGGGGGGGGGGGGGCGTACGCCCATTACGCCCTCACCTGGACCCGCCCCTGATAGTCTCATTGTGGCGACAAATGTCATTCAAATCAATACATTGATTATCTGTGCAGTTTTATCTTTAAGGTCTTGCAATGTCTTGGATTTTAAATCCATTCTGATATCCATAATTACTAATTATTAGCTTATAGTTCTAATGTTACATTAGAACTATACAGCTAATAATTAGTAATTATGGATATCAGATTGTTAGGCGAGTGCTATCGATAGACTTGCACACGTCCGAAATACACTTGACTGGCCGGGAGCATTTATCAGCATTTATGAAGACTTAATTAAATATCAAAATTTAATTTTAATATTGTAACATTTTATTTCAACATTTTATTTCAAATTTTGTCATTAAAAAAAACAGTATGTTTTTTTTTGCATTGTTTTTAATTGATTACATATTGTTTTTGTCTAAATTATAATGAAAATAAATTGAAAAACTTTAAAAATACACATTTAATAAATATAACTATTAATTTCTTAGTCCCAGATTATTAAATAATTAAACAAATGAATAGCTTAAAATCAGTGTGAACATGTCAATTGATTGGTCCAGTGGTTTCAGTACTCGGAATGGCTGAAAAAAACAAATTATATAAATATTCAAAATATTGTATTATAGTTATTCTTTGAGACAATGCAACAACAAACAGCATCCTGTCAAAAAACTGAATTTTTGACCTCCAGGAGAATGCGTTTTCAGCATCATGGGTAGTAGAAAAATTTCCAATTTTAAAGTTGAATGGAAAATAATTTGCATGATATTGATGTTTGTATAATGAACAATTATCCTCATTTGTTTCTCTCAAAAGTGCTTAAAAGCCATCTCCGGTCATCTAGGATTTCAATTTTTTCCGGGGGTGAGCCCCCGTACCCCCCTTACGAGAAGGGGGCTTCCAGCCCCCCTCTCGTGCTCTCCCCCTGGCTCCGGCCTACGGCCCTCGTTCGGCGGCCTTTGGCCGCCGTTCGGGCCTTCGGCCCTCAAAAAAATGGTGCCTCCTACTTTTTATTCATTAACCTCCTACTATTATTCTCATTGAGAACACTGTAATAACAGGTAAGATGTTTCAACATGGCGTTAAAGAAAAACATGTTTTCTTTCGGGAGAGGTTCTAAGTCCCTCTAACAGATCCATTATTTTCACTAAACTTTGGACTTTCGATAAGTTAAGTTTAATCACGCTTCTGTTGGTACTGTGCTGAACATTAACATCCGATCCACAAACTTATTGCAGTACAAGCGTACTTTTTGCAATTGAGAATATGAAAACATGGTCAGTTTGAACTCAAGGGAGCACCGACCAAATTTTAATTAAAATTCCTGAACCAATACCGAAAAATTAGGATTTTAAAGGTTCACCATTTACTTGTATTACCCATAATGGACCCGACCTATCTGCCGTAATGGTGATATACCCTTCAGTAAAGTTCCCTAGGTTAATATTTATTTGTCAGTACTGAAGGTGTACAATTGTATCTGGTCCAAGCTTGGCAGAAAGGCCCGATCAAGTCGGCTAACCTCGACCGATGAAGGCACGGAATCTGCCGTGATGTGACGAGTGAGGTCCGATTAAGGATGTCCGACAATCCGGAACCGTCGGCACTTTCCGTCTCGTTTACGGAAAGTGTCGGCGTTTCCCGATTGGGATGTCGGAGTTATCCACCTTTGTCAAGTTGTCGACTGAAAAGCATTAACAGATTGCTTGTTGGCCGGTTTAACGTCCTAACAACGTCTAAGGTTATATAAAGACATTAGGAATAGCAATAAATAACCAGACGACAAGACAGGTGAACTAAACAGGTGTAATTCATTAAGGAGCAGTGAATGTCCGTAGTGACCACCTTCAACTAATTGAAGATTTTGTCACGAAGTTGGGTTTATATTACATAACATCTAATAATCATTCACTTAGTTAAAGTTAAGAGAAGGAACATTTAGTTCTAGGAGAGTCCGAGAGAGAGGTCCGAGCAAGCCAGTGATTGGGCAGCCCCCATGCACTTACTAAGCTTGTTCGGAAAAGGGATAAAAGAAGAGAAGTGATAAATTATTATATAAAGTCTGTTGAAGTAACTAATTACTCTGCATCTTCAATTTTATGGGTGTGTCTGGAAAAAGATGTTTTGAAAGAGTTGAAAGTGTGTGCATTAACGATGTCGGATGGCAATTTGTTCCAGTCTAGTATGGTACGAGAAAAAAATGATTTTTTGTCTAGTTAGTGCTTTCGAGTATTGCTGTTGGTATTGGACCTGGTGGGAATTTCTAGGAATTCTTCTGGCTCGGTGCATCCTGTCAGTCGTGGATATGGCCACCGTGCCCTAGTGAATTTTATGGAACATCTTTAGGCGTTCATCTTTCCTACTATCTGACAGACTGCGCCAGCCAAGAGTACCAATCATATCTGTTCCACTAGAAGTATTCCGAAAGCGATTTGACACACATCGGACTCCTCTCCCCTGGACCATTTCTATTTTGTTTACCGGACCGAATATTATAGTACATACATGTATTAATTGTCAGGATTCCTTGAAGGAGACACATACAGATAATGTATTGTGCCTAATGTGTTTCTATAAAAAGAGAGGCTACGTACTGAGTCGGGTATAGCATGATCTGTTATTTATGGTGGCACCGAAGAGCCACAGGTAAAACACATTTAGATCGCTGTATATAATATACAGTATGCTAGATATATTTAGAAGAACAAAAGTTAGTGTTATTCGTAAAAAAAATGGCCTTTATATAACTCTTTTCACAGACAAAGCAAAACTACACAATGACGTCAATCTTCTTTTGTATTAGTGTCGACGTCACTATACATCGCTTTACAGGGCGCCGCATTTGCACCTTAGGTACATGTATGTTTTAAAACCGGAACGTTTTCTGACGATGGCCCATCTCAAATGTGCATGGGCCAAAATATGTTAATATTGGATAACAGTTGCTGAAATAACCATTTTGATGTTGTTGTCATCTCAATTTAATTGAATTAATTTTGATTTTATATTGAAGAAAGTGAAATGTCAAACACAGGTCCTCGCGAGATGGTTTGGAATGGTTAACGGTATTTGATTCTTTGATACAGAAGAGAGACGTAAAATAGCTTACACGTATTATCCGTGTTCAAATCGTATGCCAATAAAAATCGTTGATGAAACACGCCACACATCAAGAGGAAGCATGCCCTGTTCTCACGGAAACAAACTTTTGGTCAACGATTTTCAACAACTTTCAGTCAATCGTCGTAAAGTCAAAAGTTTTTAAGGTGCAACACCGGCCTTTCTGTCCATCGCCTCAATCTCTCAGGTATTAAGTCACCAATAAAAAAGTTTGTTAGAGCGTCTCTGATGCGGAATATGAACCGTCTTCACCCTCATGTTTTCTGCCATTCGTATCTAAAGGTCCTTTCTTTCATTGGAATCATCCGTTTATCTGTAACTAAAGATAGAGGACCATACCGGATGTGTAAAAACTACTTCCTGGCAAAAGTCGTACATATGGCAACCCTCGTCTCCGTCGTTTGGTTTAACGGGCCGGCAAACACCGTACGGTTTCACAGACTGGCTTAACTTCGAACACGGCCTACCGGACATAAACAGTTCGAACTGGCTTTCAAACATTTTTGTTATCATCGAAGAATTGATGATGAAAGCTGACGAATCTTAGCGTCGATTTTTTTTACTAGGAGACACATAAAACCATGTATATGTTACTGAATCTCTTTAACAAGAAAAAGTATCACAGATTATTTTTTATGAGATGGGTTCCATTTAACACCAGATTTCTGGAACGAACATAGGAATTTAAAATTTTAGCGAGCTGCCCTCTGTGGAGCTCATAAAAAGACGATTTTTTTAAATCAATGTAAACATTTCGTTTGAAATATTTAAAAAAAAAAATTGTACACATCTTAGATAACTTTCCTTTCCATTAATGGCTTTGTCTAACGTATATGAAGTATAAGTCGTATCATTATATCTGAGTGAACAAATGTTTTATGTAAAAAGTTGTCACTAGGCAGGGTGCTTCATTTGAATTGTGAACGTTGTTCTGAAGCGACCCATCCAGTGCATGGGGCAAAACATATAAACCGTGGGTAAAAGTTGTTAGAATACGCCATCTGATGTTATTGTTGTAATCTATTGTGGTTATTTTAATTTGTTGTTATTTAAAATAATGTGAAAGGCCAAGCACAGGTTCTCGCCAAATGGGTTGGAATAATCGACGACATTTGATTCTTGAATACCGAGGAAAATATAGAACAAGGCCTTCTCTTAAACATTTGGTAATCATTGACGATCTGATGATGGAAGCTGGTGAATATAAGCGTCGTCGTTTATAAAAAAAATCATGAAACTTTAAAGCTATTAACATGGTACTTGATGTTTGCAAGACAATATTTCACAGAAAATGAGGATTTTACATGAGTTTCAATTCAATGTGAGATGTAAAACGAATCTAATCATTTTAATTTTATAACAGCTCTCGAGCTTAGATTTAAAATTCAGGAGTTATGAAGATGTGATGTCACAA